GCTAGTCATTTTTTCCCAACTACATACATCAACTGCCAAATTTCTTGGAAAATAGTTGGAACCGTTTTCAAGATCCGTGTCCAGGTTCCATCCAGGTTTTGGAGCCAATCTTCGAAGATACGAGTTGAATAGAGTTATTGTATTGAAAGGAAACATACGTCGAGATTTCCCCACTCCTTTTCCTCAGACATTTACCCAGGGAGATCTCCAGAAAGTTCTCATGACATTCATATTGCAATTAATCGACATAGACCTAGACTAGCGACATTGACCCAGACTGCACAGGAAGCCGAAGTACCGGTACAAATAAAATAATTTTTAAAAAAGTTACTTAAAAGAAAAAAAACAGGTATAACACAAATACGGTAATTAAAACAAAGAAAACAATCCCAATTAAATAATTAAAAAATAAACGAAATCTGGGGAAAAAAGTAAGAAAAGTCACATGACCCTGTGGACAAATCTTATTCTACTATATACTATATATAATGGAGGTAGTCAAAGTCCATGGCGACTCATGTGTTTCTTCAAGTGATCCACTCTGTAGAACCTGGCCTGACAAATCTGGCAGACAATCTCGCGAAGACCTTTACACTTCCACTTGTGCCGTGACAGCACGTGAGACAAGGTGTAAACCTTACCGCAGTTATCACACTCATGTCGGCCAGGGCCACGTTGACCTGATCTTGTGTACAGCATGGAATACACTGCCAGCAGAAACCAGAAAGAAGTTAAGGTTAGATGTATGGAGACCAATTTCAAGAGATAGTTAGATGCGTGAAGACTTATTTCAAGAGATATAGTTAGATGTGTGGAGACTTATTTCAAGAGATATATTAGATGTGTGGAGACTTATTTCAAGAGATAGTTAGATGCGTGAAGACTTATTTCAAGAGATATAGTTAGATGTGTGGAGACTTATTTCAAGAGATATCGTTAGATGTGTGGAGACTTATTTCAAGAGATAGTTAGATGCGGGGAGACTTATTTCAGGAGATTGTTATATGTTGAGACTTATTTCAAGAGATATATTAGATGTGTGGAGACTTATTTCAAGAGATAGTTAGATGTGTGGAGACTTATATCAAGAGATATAGTTAGATGTGTGAAGACTTACTTCAAGAGATATAGTTAGATGTGCGGAAACTTATTTCAAGAGATATACTTAGATCTGTGGAAACTTATTTTAAGAGATATAGTTAGATGTGTGGAGACTTATTTCAAGAGATATAGTTAGATGTGTGGAGACTTATTTCAAGAGATAGTTAGATATGTGAAGACTTATATCAAGAGATATAATTACATGTGTGGAGACTTATTTCAAGAGATAGTTAGATATGTGAAGACTTATATCAAGAGATATAGTTAGATGTGTGGAGACTTACTTCAAGAGACATAGTTAGATGTGCGGAAACTTATTTCAAGATATATACTTAGATCTGTGGAAACTTATTTCAAAAGATAGTTAGATTGTGGAGACTTATTTCAAGATATAGTTGAGATCTGGGGAGACTTATTTCAAGAGATATAGTTAGATGTGTGGAGACTGTTTTCAAGAGATAGTTAGATGTGTGGAGACTTATTTCAAGAGATAGTTAGATGTGTGGAAACTTATTTCAAGAGATATAGTTAGATGTGTGGAGACTTATTTCAAGAGATATAGAAACTAGATCTACAAGGGAGCAGAAAAATCGTCGTTCAAACATTTCAGAGAACCAACTAAGGACGGTAGACGGTATCCTAAAACAAAGTGAACATGTTGCTGTGAAGAATATGAAAAGATTGCGACCGAACTCTGATAGATATGAGGATGCAGAAACAGACCTCAGGAAGGTACCGCCTCACTAAGACACTGAATGGAAAGGAGACATTACAGAAACTCATGAGTCTGAGGGATGCTGTGGCGATAAAGGAGAGTCATCGCTGTGAACTACTATCTAACCATTCAGATGGATGGCTCTGATGATTGTGTCAACACAGATACTAAGACATTTATTTTAATTTTTTTCTGTCCTACTTGTTTAGTATTTTTAAACCATGAATTATATACAGGTATGTAATATTATTTTTTGTAAAAGGGGAAGATGCCGTATTTTTTAAAGAAAAGGGGAGGGGAATGGAAACGTTGAATCAGGGGCGGGCCAACTCTCCAGTTTCTATTTCTAAAGATTGAATTTGACAGTAGCGGAGTGAAGGACTCGCTATATATATTGCATTTAAAGCACCGGTAGTGACAGTTTTGTTTTGTTGTTTCTTTTTTTTTTTTTACACAAATTATGTACTTTTTGTACTACAATACCCCCAGGGGAGTGATTTCACCTAGAGCCATTCCAACCTGGTGTGAACCTACTCTCATTTGATACTTACATAAGTGAACTGAGGTGTGACAAGAAACAAATGTGTTCCAATAGCAATACGTAGCATGAAGATATTGGACTAGTTTTGTTCCAATAGCAATACGTAGCAGAGAGATGTTGGACTAATTTTGTTCCAATAGCAATACGTAGCAGAGAGATATTGGACTAATTTTGTTCAAATAGCAATACGTAGCAGAGAGATGTTGGACTAATTTTGTTCCAATAGCAATACGTAGCATGGAGATATTGGACTAATTTTGTTCAAATAGCAATACGTGGTAGAGAGATGTTGGACTAATTTTGTTCCAATAGCAATACGTAGCAGAGGGATATTGGACTAATTTTGTTCCAATAGCAATACGTAGCATGGAGATATTGGACTAATTTTGTTCAAATAGCAATACGTAGCAGAGAGATGTTGGACTAATTTTGTTCCAATAGCAATACGTAGCAGAGAGATATTGGACTAATTTTGTTCAAATAGCAATACGTAGCAGAGAGATGTTGGACTAATTTTGTTCCAATAGCAATACGTAGCATGGAGATATTGGACTAATTTTGTTCAAATAGCAATACGTGGTAGAGAGATGTTGGACTAATTTTGTTCCAATAGCAATACGTAGCAGAGGGATATTGGACTAATTTTGTTCCAATAGCAATACGTAGCATGGAGATATTGGACTAATTTTGTTCAAATAGCAATACGTAGCAGAGAGATGTTGGACTAATTTTGTTCCAATAGCAATACGTAGCAGAGAGATATTGGACTAATTTTGTTCAAATAGCAATACGTAGCTGAGAGATATTGGATTAGTTTGGTTCACAAACTGATTTCTGCAAAAAATTAAACCGCCCCCCCCCAATGATTGGTTTGGGGGCGGCATGGGAGGGGCGGTAAATGCAATCGCCGCTCCCCCCCCCCCCCCCAAACAAAATCGACCAACATACCAGAGGGCGGAGCGACATGATATAAAAATTGGTTAAAATATTAAGAATTAGTATACCGTATATTATTATGAAAAGTAAATAATTCTGTACACAATTTGGTGTAATTTTTCTATAAAAGTTAACCCTCCAGCTCCCTTGCAAAGGGTTCGGTCGAGTGGGGGGGGGGGTGGAAGGCGATTGCTCCTACCGTCCCTTTCCCCCCCCCCCCCCCCCCCAAAACAATGGATCCACCAGTGCTTGGAACACAAGGAAGGGCATTCAGTTGTACTGATGTCCAAATAATCTATACAACGTCAATTAGAAGACAGATTGGATGGGTGATTAAAAACATAATCTGTCGTGATGGATCAAACTGTAACAATCATGTTCCTATAAATGTTATTTGACCTACAACATGTTCTTATACTGAATCTGCTCAGAAGATTAGTGACCAGAATAGAAGTGGCCAAAACATTAGTGGCCAGAACATTAGTGGCCAGAACATCAGTGGCCAGAACATCAGTGACCAGAACATTAGTGACCAGAATATCAGAGCTTCTGGAGATCAGCTGGCCAGGCCATGGTTTGATCTGACATTAGTTAAATAGCTATTAATAATAAGAGATCACTAGCAGGCTATTTTAATGGCGCTGCCAACTAGCATCTTCAACACAATGTTAAAGCCGAGACTAGAAGCTTTCAAACTATGAAGTTGGTGACGTGATGGCGACTTTTTAAAATAAATAGACAAGCCCAATGCGACCTAGCTGGTCACGTGTCAACTAAACAGATAGTCCCAATGTGACATCTCTGTCATCTTTAGAGATTTCTTCCAGCCTTACAGACTCGTTCTCTTTGAACACATGACTCTGGGCTTGTAAGTGTTTCTTATAGACATCCTTCCGAGAGAAACAGATGCAGCATGTGTGACAGAAGTAGACTTGCTTATTGTCCCCTAGACCGTGCGAGCATCGCTTGTGCCTTGACAGATTTTGAGGATAGTTGAAGCCAGCTGAGCAGACATCACAGCGGTATGGGAAATTGAGAAGATGCCTTGTTCGGCTTAGGGCTAGATGTAAACAATACAAATGACATCTGTTAATAAGTCATCTGTGGGGCAAGAGAAACACACAAAACAAAACAAAAAACCCAGGCTGAAAGCACACTACCGTACTTGAAATCTCTAGATACAGATCTTTAGATCACACTACATCTCAGATTACATCCATTACTTAGCAAAGACTTTGTTATAATTTCTGGTAAGCCGGGGCGATAACTCAAAAGATTTAAAATACAAAAATGCGATTACAGAAGTGGCTATTTAAAGTTGCTACAATATGTTTTTAACATATCTACGACGGGGGTTTTATGGCAAGTCTCTGAAAGACACAAAAATAAAGGCACATTCCTCGTTCCATATGCTAGAACAAATTTGTACAAATGCTCCTTCTTCCCTAGTGTTATTAGAGCATGGAATGGGTTGCCTGAGCTAGCCAGGAAAACCAGTGACTTGGCAGAATTTAAGTCATTGGTTAATATGCATGACTGAATGCATGACGCGTAAAACGTATTCATCTGTATTATTTATGATAAAATAGGTCTTCCTATAGTTATCACAGCCTTTGCAATGTATTTCTTTATTTAAATTTACAATAGAGTTTATTGATCGTCCAACACTGATGTCTAAGTAAATAAATAAAGAACAAGTTTTAAAAAGCGTCAAGAAACAATTTAATTCTCAGTCCTCCCCCCGCCTCTTTTCCCACAAAAACCCTTTTACATTTTTTTTTGTCGTTTTTTTTTTGTTTCGAAAGCAAAGCTTTGAGGATATTCATGTCTTGTTGGAAATAAAACCTTTTTGGGCTTTTTCAATGAGCGAAACATTCCGACTGCTAGAGTACACTTTTCTTTCCACACCAGTACACTTTTCTTTCCACACCAGTACACTATACTTTCCACACCAGTACACATTTCTTTCCACACCAGACAGTAGAGCGTGAACTGATATCCGTGTCTCTTTGTTCTACGTTCAGAATATCTAGCTGGAGTTGTCAAACCTGAATGTGGTTAATAATTCAATCAATCAAAAAGGCATTGGCTAAAATAAATCATAAACTTGGTCGACTTGACATTGAATAAATCGTTTACTCCCTGCCTCTGAACGAAGAATTCCAGTACTCCCGGTACACTTGTTCGTCCCATCCACCGCTTCTCACACAAAGAGACTCGAAGCTAAGCTCTACACGCTCCCTCTAGACATTATTTGTTCGATGTCACGTGTGTGTTATGTACAGTCTTTTGATGCTTTCTGAAGACATCATCACGTGAGAATGTCTTGTGACACAGCTCGCACCAAAAAGTCACGCCGTTCACTTTGGCCAGATGCCTCTTTAACCCTTTCATATCGCTGTAAGTATTGTCGCAGTGATAACAGAGGAAACGGTTTTTAACTGAGGCAAGCGTTGCTTTTTCTTCCGACTGCTCTGACTCAACACACGCTTCCTGTTCATTGGGTCTGGGCAATTCTGGATGCTCTTGGAGAATGTGATTTCGGAACTGATAAATGTCGTTGGAGTCAAGGTCACAGGCAGCGCAATGAAAGTAGCCGCTCATTTTGTCGTTCACACATACAGAGTTTGAGCTGCCAATTCTGGCGATGTGTTGAGAGAACTGGTAATAATTGACGAATGGCTCGGGGCAGAAGGCGCACAAGAACTTGAGTTGGTTGGAATTGCAATCAGTGTCCAGGTGTCTACGCGTGATAACGTGCACGGAGAGGACGTGACTTTTATAGTCCGATCTCGTATCAAATACTTCATGACATACTGAACAACACTTCCACTGGCTCAAAGATTTCCACTTGATACTTCTCTCTCGGCTTCTGCTTTTCTTCTCTACACATTCAACTGTAAAAATAAAATAAAAGCAAACCAAAAAACAAAACGATCACTGAATGTCTCAAAGTGTTCAACAATACAAAGTGAAGAGCAAGACACAGAGTTCAACAATACAAAGTGAAGAGCAAGACACAGAGTTCAACAATACAAAGTGAAGAGCAAGACACAGAGTTCAACAATACAAAGTGAAGAGCAAGACACAGAGTTCAACAATACAAAGTGAAGAGCAAGACACAGAGTTCAACAATACAAAGTGAAGAGCAAGACACAGAGTTCAACAATACAAAGTGAAGAGCAAGACACAGAGTTCAACAATACAAAGTGAAGAGCAAGACACAGAGTTCAACAATACAAAGTGAAGAGCAAGACACAGAGTTCAACAATACAAAGTGAAGAGCAAGACACAGAGTTCAACAATACAAAGTGAAGAGCAAGACACAGAGTTCAACAATACAAAGTGAAGAGCAAGACACAGAGTTCAACAAAACAAAGTGAAGAGCAAGACACAGAGTTCAACAATACAAAGTGAAGAGCAAGACACAGAGTTCAACAATACAAAGTGAAGAGCAAGACACAGAGTTCAACAAAACAAAGTGAAGAGCAAGACACAGAGTTCAACAATACAAAGTGAAGAGCAAGACACAGAGTTCAACAATACAAAGTGAAGAGCAAGACACAGAGTTCAACAAAACAAAGTGAAGAGCAAGACACAGAGTTCAACAATACAAAGTGAAGAGCAAGACACAGAGTTCAACAATACAAAGTGAAGAGCAAGACACAGAGTTCAACAATACAAAGTGAAGAGCAAGACACAGAGTTCAACAATACAAAGTGAAGAGCAAGACACAGAGTTCAACCAAAACAAAAACAAATTTAAAAAAATTAAAAAAAAATTTCTTCAACGTCCGGAATCATTTTTACATCACCCCCCCCCCCCCCCATATACATACGCACACTTGATTACAAGAGTCAAGGAAAGAATAAGTTCAGGCTTCTAGTGTTCAAAGTTTGTGTAAGTCTGCGTCTCTGTCACGTGGTCCTACAGTCCCTTTGTTGAGCGACTTTGTGAAGGAGTGAAACGATTGCCTTGAACTAACCCAAAGCTAAACCCAAACCCGAAACAAAAGCCATCATGACCACAACTTTAAACCAAAAAAGTAAATGGACTTCAAAAGTTTCTGTACATTCGCTGATCATCTAAGAAAATGCGAGCTCTTCAGCTTTGAAAGTTTTAAAATAGCCTAATAAAGAACTAGTTCTCATTTTCCCCATCACTTTGAAATAGCTTTAACCAATGTCTTACAATTTTGAGACAATTATACAACAAAACGTTTATATTTTGCATTAGTCAGCATTAGAACTCAAGCACACTTTAAAAGCGTCAGGTCCAGTAACTCTAACAGTTGACATGAGACAGAATGTAGTTTTCTCTCCTTATTTACACATGCATCTCCAATTTAAAATAAGAAGTTATTTTGACTGCACTACCCTTTTTTTCCCAGAAAATGTCTTCTTTCGGAGCTCTTTTTTTACCTTTCAATCAAACGGCCCCACGCTCTCATACCCCCGCCTTTTGTTTGGGTAGGATGTGACGTTTTGTGACTTTTAAGTGTCTTTTCATTTATTAAGGTAGTAGGCCTATAGATAGAAAGTGACTTGATTGAAAAATCTACCGATCAAAGTTGATCAGTTCGAATGTACATCTATACTATGGAAATGGCTACTGGGAGAAAACGCTAAAAAACTACAATCTCTGTGGTCAAAACTAAGTTAATGTGTTTTGAATAACCATTTCTGCTCTACAGTTAATACCGGTCTCTCTAGTGTTCAACTGTATTCTTTTGTAACTTTCCAAGCCTTTGTTTTCATTGTTATATCCTATCTCTTTTTAGACGAGGCAGTTCTCAGATTCTAAAAATACTTAAATGACGTGATTTATGGGGTAAAATATGCTAAACTTGCTTTTAGAATGATAATATGGTGGAAAGACTCATTAACATTTGCGATTTAGCGAGCGTTCATCACTATAATTACCCTTAAATGCTGGTCTAGTTTCATTCTCAGGTTTTGCTTTTATTTTTCAATAGTTCTACTAGTTGTTTCATGCATTATGTTTTAAAAACTATATTTTAAAAACTATGTGTCACCCTATGTGACAATATGTCTAATTCCACTTACAAATTATATAAACAGTTAGATCAATATCTAGAAAGTAGAATTAGTCAGACACACGATCAATTTACTTTTGGGAAAGGGAGAGATGTAGATTAAAATGCTACTTTTTGTTCTCGAGTTGGTTATCCTAATGTTTATGTGGAGGGTGAAAATAGTTAATCCAGTCATTTCATAATTTCATATACAAGTTTGTATGTATGTGTGCATAAATATACATACATACTGTACCAAATGTATGAACTAGGCCGTCACTGAAATTTGTGAGATTTGTGATTTTGGGCACATCGGCACAATTTAGGCCATGTCGTGCCTGCAGTCCCTCAAGGGCCACTCTCCCTCCACACAGCAAAGGCCAAATTCCATACAGTCAAATCATTAAAATCAAGGTCTATTCACAGTTAAAATAGTAGAGGTTGTAAAAATTTAATAATTTGGTAAAAATCTAATGTAAATAGTACATGTCTACAGAATTCATAAATCAGATCTTCGTAGACAACCCCACTTCCCGGATAAAGCCCAGTACCTTCCCAGGGTCGACATTATTGAATAGTGTTTTTAAATTAGTGGCTCTAAAATATTTTTCCCTGACATCCTGGTATCTGGGGCAGTCGATGAGGATATGTTCCACGGTGAGGCGAGAGTCACAATACTCACAAAGTGGGGGCTCTTCTTTCTTCAGCACAAAAGAGTGCGTGATGTAGGTGTGGCCAATCCTAAGTCTGGACATGGTCGTGCTACCACGCCTTGTCAGACCCTTAGATGTGGACCGCCACCTGACATCCGCCACAATCTGCCTGAGTTTATTGTGAGTCTCAGCCTCCCATCGGTCCTGCCACTCTTGGTAGATGGCAGAGGCAATACTTTGTCTCAGGTCTGAGCAGGGAATTTGAGTTCCTGACACCGCATGATTTAGGGCTCTCTTTGCTTCTCTGTCTGCGGCTTCGTTTCCCTCAATGCCCACATGGGAGGGGACCCACTGAACCTATCAGCCACTGTAAGAATGAAGCAATACGATTGGTTAGATCTAGATTCGCTTTTAGTTTTGTTGAGGGAAGTGCCCAACCTAAAAAACAAAATATCAAAGAACCCACTTTTTTTTTTTTTTTTTGAGATGTGAAGAGTTTACTTTTCAATGTTAAATGTTTCTAAGCATTTAATTTTTAAAAAAAAGGTAAAATGTTTATTATTACAACTTTTTTACTCAGAATTTAAATAAATATGTCAATAACTCAACATTTGAAAAACCCTCGGAGTTTCCCTTTAGAGATGCTGGACCCTGGCATTGCCAGAGAATGAATTTTAATAACAATACTAACACTCAAGACATGGAAATGAATAAAGACACGAAGTAACTAGCACAGATGAATACAATCAAAACCAAGACAAGTGGAAAGTTCTATCTGTTTACTTTATCACTTGCAAGTGTTGCTCTCAAATTTACATACAACGGAGATACAAATACATGAACAATAATAATTATTGACCAGATTTGTACAAATTCGCCTGTAAAACTCTAATATCTGTTTGTAGATTTCAATTCTTTAGAGATAATTATTTGTACAAGTGCCATTCGCGGAGCCTTTTTACGAATTATACTATTTGGAACTTCCAAAAGAACTGAATTCCTTCTACGTCCAAGCATTGTAAAAGTGAAAGTCAAGTTTGATTGCTGTAGGCGGGCCCAAGTAGGTCAGACCATTGCAAAATGTGTTCAGCAAATACGTTATCATTTGATTTGTTATATCACTTGAGTAAAGTTTCCTATCAGGAGGAAAAGCTCAGTTAAGTTTTGTTATATCACTTGAGTAAAGTTTCCTATCAGAAGGAAAAGCTCAGTCAAGTTTTGTTA